ATAGCCCACAATCTATGATAACCTACAGATGTACACATTCAGTCTCATGTTTCAGCCAGGCGCTGGACGCGCCTCTCCATATCCATAATAGGAGTAAAATCTTCAAGCGTGTATATATCTAAGAGTCTCTCTAATTATCCATATCTGTGTGTTTCTCTGTGCTGGACGTCCAACGTCACAGCTCTTTGCCACTCGGATCACTAACCTAAGCGACGTTATCACTTTTGGGGAGAGGGGGTGCATTGTAAATTATTTTTGACTGTTTTTTTGGTACCAGTTGTCAATAAAAACTTATATATACAAATATTTATGAGTATTTATGTTTTATACTGGGAATTTTGGGTTCTATAATGATAATATCGGGAGGGGATAACACATAATAGTAATCTTAAAAGAATATATGAAAGAAATTGGAGCCACTGCTTTAAGGTGCAAGTGCTTAGGGATTATAAATATCTACGTCCTGTACATAGTAAAGTTTCAAAGTTCTACGCACTCTATTTGATTTATGTAGTTCCAAGGAAGCACATCCCTTCTACCCATACACCCCTCTACATTCCGATTACTGGGTATACAAATAAACACTTCGTTGGCTTCCAATAATTAAGAGCGGATTCCCTCTCTTAAATATAGATAAGAAAACCCCCCAGCCGGTGACGTAGCTACAATAAGGCCGAGCACCGTGCATTGAGGCAAGAGCTTCATTCCATTCGTGTGTTCGTTCTGTCGATAAGGCATTGGTATTAGACGCACTTCAGGCAAACCCTTGCCATACGCCCGAGAAGAGCCCAAAATTGTTGATAAACGAATTCTATGGAGCTGCTCAAGTGCGTCCACACGCAGTCCAATCAGTAGTATTTGAATGGCTGAACGGGCCCAAACGTGCGAAACTTTAAACGCAAGAGTCGGAAATTCCCAAACAGAGTAAAAGCCACACCACTGATCTCTGGATAAACTTGAACGGATCTTAAATGCTGATCCGCCTTACAAAGATTGGATAAAATATATTGGAGAACCGAGATTAAGTGGCGCTTTCCGGTTCTAATTGGGTGGCATGTTTGACCTTTGAGCGATATTTCGTCGAGCGCTGAACAGTCGATAAGCTTTATCATCTTCGGCCAAATTATTGGGCAATACGATAATCATAGTTCCCAGAGCATAATCCAGTGTAGAAGGCCCCAAAAATGGCAGCCCAAAGTAAACTTCTCGAAGCAGCCTTCGAGTGCAGCTGCCACGCGTATGTGCATCCATGGACCTCCAGTTGTGCCGCTGCGGCAGCAGGCATGATGCTGGCTGAGGTTGCCCCTAGTTTTCGCACTTACTCGACCGTGTATTTGGTGAGTCACAGGAAAGACCAATAATCTATAATATCTATAAGATATATATTCCCTTCTTTAGCTCGCTTTGATCATGAGGATGCGTGTTCCTAGGCTGCAGGACCTTTGGCGAACTCTTACCGGCATTCTCCAGTCGACTGCCTTCCTCTCCATGAATGGAGGGCTCTTCATCTTCTCCGTGTGCCTACTCCGACAGCTCCTGGGTCGCTTCTACTTCCCAACGGTGGCTTTTTTGCCCTCGTTCTTGTCCAGCTGGTTGTCCATCGCCGTAGAGCGCCCAGAGCGTCGTACTCCATTGGCCATGTACGTGGCCAATGTGGGCATCGAGACCGTGTGGAAGATGCTCGAATCGAGGGGTTTGGTCCGCTCCCTTCCCAATGGACAGGTGCTAATCATGGGCCTGAGCCTCACCGCTCTAATGTACCTGTACCGTGTGGGCCTTCACAAAACGGTGGCCAAGGATGCCACCTTTAAGGGCCTGAGTGTGATTCTTGGCAAGGAGGAGGAGGGTCCGCTTAAGACCCCCACTGTTACCACTACACAAAGCTCCCGGCAGCGTCCTCTGAACTTCCAGAGTATTTCCGCGTATGTGCAGGTGTACGATCGCCTGAGGACCGCCAAACATCCCAGTTGTCCGCATCGGCAAGGCTGTGCTCCGTACGCTCTCTACGGAGGATTGAAGCCGTTCCTGGGCGGCCTGGGTCTGCAGGTTGGACTGAAGCTACTGCTCAACATATCCAAGATTGTTAATATGAAGATGCAGTGGCGCAAACAGATCTTCAACAAGGGTTCTCTACAGCTGGGACTGGCTCTGGGTAGCTTCTCACTGCTTTACAAGGTGTGTAAGACTTCTCCATACTCGAAAGATATTCTTCCGACTTTAAATTCCATCTCCACAGACAATTTCCTGTGGTCTGCGGCACACCTGCGGCCATGACAACGCTCTCTTTGCCATTCCAGCTGGCTTGATTGGCTCCATTGGTCTGCTCCGCTTTCCCAATACCACAGTGGCCATGTATCTGATGTGGAAGACCCTCCAGCTGCTTTACAACTGGGGCATTGCCGAGGGCAAGCTCCCAGAAGTGCCATACTTCAATACGATCATGTATGGCTTCTTCACGGGCGTGCTCTTCCACGCGGCCATCCTGGAGGCACGTACCCTCCGACCCAGCTACTACAACTTCCTCATGAAGATCTCCGGCAACCGGATCAGTCGCTTCAATGTGCTGCCCTTCCAGGCGTACGGTCTGAAGAGCCAGGATCAGATCAACTATGTGATCAAGAAACTGAAAATAGACATGACATCGCCTTTCCCCATATATCCCCTCACTGTTTAAGATGGAGTTCCTGGATCAAAAGTTCAAATAAAATGCAATAAAACTTTAAATTAAATGTTTGACCCAAAACGGCCATTAAGGGGGCGATTTTATGGGAGCAGCAGCGCCTCCCTGCATGGGACCTCCCCATTGAATCATGAGCCCCTCTTTGTTGGAGGCAACAGTAGGATGAGCACTGTTTGCCGGATGTGAGGTCCAGCATCAATCACGGAGTCAACAAGGCACCCCGGAACCCTGGCACTCCGGCACCCTCCTTAACCACCCAACTTCACGGCTGTGACAACTCTAGACGGCGGCTCCGCGCTGCTCAATTATTTACATTTATATGTCATATAAATTTATTGCCAGCCATAACTCACCCAAGGCCCGAGACGAGACGAAATGGAGCTCGAAGGCTCCACCAAAAGTGCAGCTACAAATTCACTAAAAATAAAAATAATAATAAAAAAGCAAAACCAAATGAAAACAACAAGGGAAATACAGATTCAAGAGCCGTAGCTCGAGATACTCTTTCTAGAATATCAGAGATATCTGTCTGGGATTCCTTATAGCCAAGAGGCCATATTAACAGTATCGATAAGGCTTTGTTCAGATAAATATCTCTCTGAACTTGGAATCGCTATAATATGATTTCCTCATCATACTAAATCGAGTGGAAAATCCATCCCTGTGAACATTGCAAACTCTTCAACAGCATTATAGCACCCCTCCTTGAAGGGTACTGTAAATGCGAGCTTTTCTTGGTTCCATTCCCATTCCCAACCCAAAACGCAAGCCCAATGATAATCTTGGCCAGCGATGGAAGCGGAACTGAGACTGAAACTGAAACTGGAACTGGAGGAACGGGGCTTAACAAATGAATTATAGGCTCGGGTAAATTTAATGTGCCACTTAGTTATGGGGAGTAGAGGGACTTGCCTCGGCCTTTATTTTTATGCGTATTATAATAAGGCGAGCCACGGGCTAAGCGACTTTCCTCCTGTTTTTAGTTGATTTTCATTTTGAAAATTGAGTTGAAAATAATGAAAATGCAAATTTGCACGCCAGCTGCTGTTGGACAGTCTTTAGCTTTTCCCAACGAGTGTTTCAGGCTGCAGAGGGGCGCTGTGCAATTGCAGGAGCGCTCCTCTCTCTCTCTCCTTGGCATTTATGAAATTTATATGCATGTCAGTCAGTTGTTGGCTTCATTCTACGAGCATTCTGGAGCCTTCAGGCAGGGCCAAGTCAACGGCATGGAAAATACAAATGAAGCTAGTGACAAATCTCATTAATCACAACGAAAGAAAAGGAGGAGGAGCTTAGGGATTGTGGGTGGGGACGGGGGGTCTGCTGAGTGAGTGGGTGCAGCTGTTGGCGCCTTAGAATCTGGGATTATCAGCTTAGCCAAGTTGCAGTTGTTGGCCAAGAACTACTTGTTGTTCTCTCACAGAATAAAAATGCATATAAATTGAATATTATAAATTTTCTTATTTTGCAACAGTTGCAGTCACTTAGCTGCTGCTGTTGCTGCCTCCTCGACGGCTGCCTGCCAAGTTGTAACTTCATTTAAGTCAATCGCTTTTCACTCTCTTTTCTGTGGCACACAAATTGTAAACAAGGGAATTATGCAAATGAATAAATTCCTGCCTCGAAGGCAACATCCAATGAAATATTACAGAGAAACCAAAGTTAAAGGAAAGAAAATCGAAACAACATTTCGAAGAAATGGAAATCGAACAAAAATCGCACAAAAAACTCTCAACTTTCAACTGCCACAAAACTGTGCTAAAAAATCACCTTTCTCTGCGCTTTTTTGTAGGCCCCAACATTGCATGTTGATAAAACTACCAAAATGAAATTTATGGCCACAAGAAAGTCTTGGTCATAAAGGCAAGGTATGTCAACAGAAGATAAGCGGCAGAAGCTGTCCAAAAATGTAGATGTGACACCTTTTTCTCGGCTTCTACCACAAAATGAATTTTTAATTAAAATTTCTGCAGTTCTGTTGTGTGTGTGTGTGCGTGTGTGGGAGAATTTTAATGGGAAATGAAAAATAAATAAATTAAATAAAGACCAAACATTTTTGGAAAAATATGGGAAATATTCTTTGAATTGTGGCAACAAATGCGATAACTATATATAATAAATAATAGTTTACATTTAAATTCAATTAATGTATAATAATGTACAACCTTTTTTTGTTTTTAAATCCCAATAAATTCGCATTTCATATCTTAATCATATAATTTTTAATATAAAATTATATAATTATTTTCCAATATACTCTCATTAGTTTTCCAGTCTTTATTATCACTTTGAAATTGGAAATGTTCAAAGCTGATGGCAAAATATTAATACAAAATTAGAGGATCATTGGCAACAAATTCCTTGACACTGAGTCCGATCAAAATGCAATCATTCGTATACTTATGGCTCCCAGGGTATACTCGCCGGCTATGTTCTGCTCGGCATCCTCCAATTCACGCTGCCGCACCAAATGAAGAGGTACAGCCAACTGCAGGTAGTCCAGGAGCTCATTGATCAGGCTGAGGTGCAACCAGATTAGCGACAGACAGATGCACGTACACGTGCACCCAAATGATTCGCTCAGAGGTAACGGCATCGACATGCTGCTGTTGAGGTTATTCCTCCACTGATAGACCATTGATCAGAACCTAGGAACAAACCCTGAAGTAGACCCAGAAAAGCGTGCCGCTGTTGAACTGATAACAGAAACAACAGACAGTTCACCCCCAGAGATAAGCCATAATATTGTACATGTTTCTGCGGCAACAGACAGTGCGTTTCTCCGTGAGTGCGTTTGGCAACATTCATTTGTTGCCTCAACATTCAGCGAAATATGCGGCGATTCCGCTCAAACCTCATCGAACCGCAGTTCCGATTCAGCTTCGTTTCCACTCAATGTTCATTTCCGTATGTTTCCATTCGGGTTCGTTCGTGTTCGTTCGTCTTTGTTCCTTTTCTATACGTTTCCCTTCGTGTCTGTTCGTGCTTGGGAGCGTGTCCTTTCGCAACAGGATGAGCATTGTGCGGGGGCCCAGAAATGCACCAGAGTGTCGCCTACCTATCCCCACATTCGTGTGTGTGTGTGTGTGTCCTGTTCGGAGTTCGTTCCCATCTGGGTTAGTGGTACAAGTTCAGTTTGACGCAGGGTTGTTCCATTCTCACGTTCCGAAGAGGACATTGCAGGACATGTTGGCGGGGAGACTATACTTCATTTCAGGCTGATTGGGCCCAGAGATGTGTGCTGCAACCTGCTAGCTCTGGTGGTCGCATGATCCATCTTTCAGCGAAACTGAACGACTTCTCCCTTATTCCCTGCTCCCTTTTCCGCCATCTTGGTCCGAAAGTAGCTCTCTCCATCCGCCTTTTGCTTCCATATCCTTCTCTCTGTGGCAGTCACTTCGCTGCACTTTCCTTTCACTCTGTGGCAGGGCAGCCACTTCCCTGCACATCCTTAATTGAAACTACATCGTTTACCTACTTGTAAGCCATGCTATCTATATCTATCTTTGCTGCACAGCTATAGCTACTACCTCTACTCCACGGATGGCCCTCTCTTTGCTTTGTCTTTGTCCTCACCTTCTGACGCTCTTGTTTGTTCTCCCCATTGCGGCAGCATATACATAGTACCCTCTTTATAGTGTATCCACCTTTGATTCGTACCCTTTGAGTCCGCACTCCCTTTCGTACCCCCACCTGTTCTGTCTGGGTTCTTCCTTCCTTTTGGAATGCATCATTTGGCATTGGCGCTGACAGGCGGGGCAGAGCTTCCAAAGCCTCCTGCTTTCGGATGACGCCTTTGTTCTGTTCAGTTCGGTTCCGTCGCTGATTCCCCAGTGTTACAGTCACAGTCCCACCCAATCTCCTCCAAAAACGTTTTCTTTTGTTATGCCAGCCGCTCGACGACAATTGCACTTGCTGATTGCCCTCATTTTCAGACTTGAAATAATATTAAAAACTTTTACAACGTCTCGTCTGCCTTCTGTCTGTATTTCTCTCTGTGTCTTTGCCACTGCCTCTATGTCCTCCTGCCTCCTCTCCCTATGTCTTCATTGCTTTTGTCTTTGCTGCATGCCGCCTGCTGCTTGTTGCAATTGCATGTTGCAGCTGCTGCTGCTGAGGCCCCTATCTGAGACAGGGAGAGCACTCGCTTTGATTCCTGTTTTAGTTCTTGTTCTTCTTTTATTTACCACATAAATCACATGCCATCAGAGTCCAAGAGACGGGGGGGCAGGGACATTTCTATATCTATCTACTTAAGGTTTTCACTGCCTGAATCCAAGGCACTTCCTCGACTCTGCTTATCGCCTGTTCACGAGTCTGTAGCCGGGTCTCTCAGTATGGGGAGTACTCGTACTTTTTATGTTTTGGATTGTTAGTTGCTATTTTTACGATTGCCCATTGTGTCTGGCCAGCTCTAAAGCTCTCCCTTTCTGCTCTTCCTCTGTGGCTATCTCTCACCCTCTCTCTTTCTCTGTTGGTTTTTCGGGAAGCGATAGGACACGTATCCGCTTTTGGCGATTTCTTGGCAATTGCAACTGTCTGTGTGTGTGCTTGTGTGGGTGTTTATATCTGTGTTTTCTGGTACGAGTAGATGCCTTCTTTTTGTCGGGTAATTGATGATTTACAACTTATTTACGCTTCGATTGTGCAATAATTGAAAATTGCTCTAAATTCATTTAGGGCATTCCAAGGCACATATCTTTGGGGAGGTACACTGGGGGAAAAAGTAGTAGTTTTACGATTTTAATACCTAATGAGAAACCATTCTAGCATTTTCTTCTTTTTATATACTATTTATTATTATTTATTATTTATAGCACAAATATAACTTTTTTCCCCGTGTCTTTCATTCAGTTTCCCCTGCTCTTTGCAACAGGAAAGCTACTTTTCCGTGTAAGTTATTGATTGGCACATGAAAAAAGGCAATGCCTCACTTATATTTCCTTTTTCTTGCCCAAAAAAAACTGAATTAAAGTGGAATGCTTCATCTGTGAGGCACACATAACCTTTGGCAGGGTATAATTAATCTACTTGCAACATATTAAGCTTCCTAAAACACATGGCCGCTACTGCTACTGTTACTGCTGCTGGTGGTGCTCGGTGGCCCGATATGCGGCATGGAAAATGAAAATAGCGACCGACCGTGGGGATTAGGCAAGTGCAACACAAAAGAAGCACCAGCTGCGGCAAAAAACCGTTGAAATCTCTGAAGAGTCTCTGTTCTTCTCTCTCTCCCTGTCCCTGTCCCACTCTCTGTGGCAAGCAGACAAAAGAGAAATGTTGATCTAGGGGCGGACAGCAGGAGGAACCAGGAGCCGAACCAGGACGTTGCACACATCTTGGCATTGGGCCCACTGCAAAGTGAAATGGATGCCGCAGTAGCAGGAGCAGCAGCCATGCTGCAGGTCCAATTGTGGCTCTCGACTTCCCCTTAAATTCAATTCAAAATAAATGAAGCGACGCTCAAGCAAATTTTCAGGGCGCTGCTTAAACAGCTTTCAACTTGACTGCGGCTGCCAGCAAATGTGGCAATAATTTGCGGCAACATATGCCTGGAGTTTTGTGGCAGCTGGCAGCCGAGCACTACCTCACGCCCAATTGGCTGCAAAGTATGGCACGGCAACCAGACCGAAGTCAAACCTCCGAAAAAAATCAAGCCCTGGGCCATGCGGCGTATACGCAACGTTGACAAACTTCACTGCAATTCGTCGCTGGGGAAAGCCCCATAAATCCAAACCGAAGCCGGGTCGAGGTCCTTGGCTGCCTGCCCTGATCTGTATCGGAATCAATTAATTCGTTGGATACGGATGAGCCCCGGAAAAATTAGACTCCTGTGCGGCTTTAAAAGCACTTGGGGAAATGGGAAAAGTGCATAAAGTGCTTAAGGATAGACTGATTCTAAGAAAAACCAATGATTTTAAAACACTTTCATGGAAAATAAAATAAAGTTCACCTATTTTCAATCATCAATAGCTGCTCTTAAAGTTCTCAAACTTTTCTAAACATATTTTTACTGCCTTTTCCTGGCTGGGAAAATCTTTTGCCGCCATGGAGCAAACATGCTGGGACACTCCGAGTGCGGTGGGAAAAAATTCTCGCGGGTCATGCTGCATGGAGCGAATGGGTGTGGTGCAGCGGCACTAACAGCTGCATTAGCTCCGGAATGGCCACAGACGATGAGAGGCCTCGGAATCGGGACCGAACGCTGACCAGTAGAGGCACCATATTGTACCGGAGGCAGCCGGGACTCTACAGAGAGGACACGGACCCGGACCCGAACCCGATGCACATGGCTATTAGATTACGTTGCGGCCATTGAGCAAGCAGCTGTCGACGTAGTCCATTGGCAACTTTTGCGCCTTGTCCGGGTCTAAAAACTCCACGCACGATTGATCTTCTGAATTGCGAATGCCATTTTCATGGCTGCTCATGATATGTGGTGCCCTCTCTGCCTCCCAAGAGGGGGGGACTTCCGCTCTATTGATTATAGTTGCACTCCATTTTGAATGCAATAAAGTCGCGAGGCGAAATTAACCCAGTTTCTGGATGACTTGTCACGTACATCTGCAATGGGCATTTGCATCCATCTGTTTCGCTTCGCCATTCAGTTGAGTTCATCTGCAATCCGTGCCCATGGCGTACACTTGATGTCTATTACGGGATCGGGAGGAGGATGACTCGTAATTAAATGTTGGACTTCCGCCCCGACAGCGGAAGTGGAGACAACGATTTACGGCTTAAACGTTTTGGTTAAGTGCATGGCGCCAATCAACAGGAACAGGAACAGGAAGTGGGTGATGGGGGATGGGGGATGAGGATTGGGGGATAGGGGTGCAGAAAAAATGGCTGAAAACACAGCAAATTAAAATTGTCGCACACTTGGCCAAACATTTGTCCAGCTCTTATCAATTGCTCCTCGGAGTCTCTGTGGCACTCCATGGAACTTGTAACTAACGAGAAAGCGAAGCCTTTGCTGCCACTTGATGGAGCGCACACCCGGTCCGTCCTCTCTGTCCAGAGCAGCACCTCAATTTCCCAGCACTTAAAACGGAAACGGAAGCGGCCATCGTGGACGGCCGAGAGATGAAGAGGGAAAGAGTGAGTGAGTGAGTACTCATTGTCAAGCTCAGACTCGAGGGGCGGGGGTAGTCGAGCCATTTTCCATTTTTGCTGTTTTGGATTTTGGTTTTTCTCTGATTTTCCTCGCTCTCTACTATCCTCTTTCTGTCGCCCCTTTTACCTTCCTACTCTTTTTTAAGCCATCGCCTAAATACTTGGGTCTAGAGCGTGTTAAAGTACATTTGATTTGATTTGTTGTCGACGTCATGGCTATCGTTAATGGACATTTGGCCCAGACCGATGCGACACTAATCGCTCACTTACCCACTGCGCCACCACCCCAAAAACACCCTTCCAGCCCCCCATGTAGCTGTCTGTCAACACAGGGAAAGAGATAGATAGAAAGCTAGATAGATAGATAGATAGATGGAGAGAGAGAGTGATATGGTGAGTGGAGGGGCGACATTCGAGTGGCATGGAATTTTTAATGCAATTTGTCTGATTTGTTGTTGACGTTGCTGTGCTGCCTTGTTGGCTTGTCGTGATTTGTTGCTGATTTTGTCAGTCATTTAGTCATTATAGAGAGTTTTTCCACACACACCCCCCGCAGACCCAGCGGTAGCCATCACTAATTGTCATTCAAAATTAAGTGGATTTCGCGTTTTAATTGAAATCGTTTGTTGGATCGGTCGCTCGGTCAACACACAGCATTGACATCGTCTGCCTTCTGTCCTTTAAAGCCAAATTAGGCTGATTTCCTCGTTCAGCTTAAAGGACAAGGCACAAGCTCTGCTTGTGCCTGGGACTAGGAACAACAATCAAATGCCTCCTAATTGTTTCCGTAAAGATTGACCAGCACTGAGTGGGACAGCAGCAGGACCCGACCAGAGCCACCTGCCACTCGATGGCCGCAAAAATCTAGGGCCAGGCTTTGGCCAGAAAAGCCAGAGGCAACGAAAATTCCATATCTAGGTTCGCTTTGAAGGAAAACGAATTGTGAAATACACTAACAAGTGCATCAGAAGTCGAAATTCTTTGGATATTTCAAAGTGAAAGATTAGTTAATGAGCAAAGAAAACGTACAACATTTATAGCATTGGAAGAGCCTTCATTCTGCAGTTTGCAAGCTTTTAACCGAAATAATTATACCCCCTCCAACGACAGGGTATAATGACATCAGAGGCTGCCCAGGCTCCAGTCACTCCACTGCAGTCTGAGCCCTAAACAGACTGTCCAAGCCCTGCCGAACGCTGACAGAGTCCGAAGTCCGTGTGCTGGGTCACAGACAAAGCCTTCTCCCAAGCGCTGCAACGACTTCGTGAGGAGTCTGTGCCCAGTGTCAATGCGGTTCGAGCAGTGCGTGTGCGGCAGACAATTACATGACCAGCAACCACATGACCTACACTCTTGCAACACCCACTCCCCATCAACCCACCCACCAGCCAGACAGCAATCAAGGCTGATGAGCAGAAGAGGGAGCAAATAGCGAGGAATTGGTGGATGGGGGAAAAGCTTGGTAATTTTCTTAAGTCAAGGTATGGCATTATAGCGTGATGAGCCTCATTCAGCAATGAAAGGCGGTGGTTAGAGGATGGTTAAATGGGTTAGCAGGTGCTTCCATGGGTTAGAGGGAATGTCTGCCCCCATCCGGTGAGGGGTCAGACGGTTAGTGCAATGAAACGGCTTAAATGCTGCTAAATGCTGCAAAATGCTGCATGCCTTCCAAAGCAATAAAAACCTCAAAACTTTTCGCCTACTAAACTAAAAACTTGATTGTTGCAAGGACCCCGACAGGACCGAGCAGGAAATTGTTGACAGGATGTTAGAGGGCGGATGCGATTTAATTTGTATATTCAATGGAGCTCCAAGGCAGTCCCAGACAAGGGACAAGTGGAGTCCTAGTGGAGGAAGATTGTTCTCGAAAAGTTTTGCGCCCAGGCCCAAGGACACTCGGCCTCAGACGGAAGTGTCTGTGCTGTGAGTTCATTTGTTGCAGTTACAGGAAATTATTTAATTATTCGCACTGCCTGGATAAAGGACCCTCCTAGACCCAAAGTATCGCATTCGTCATCTGGCAGGGTAGCACTCAGAGCAAAGGGAGGGGAAATTCATCCAAAATTATGACTTTATATGGTCCTCAGGATATCCTCTGGCCTCAGCATGTGGCGGCGCGTAGCCTCAGCAAGTGGCGACTCCTACCCTCTGATATGCCTGTCCCAGCATGTGGCCCATCAACACCTAATGATGGACACCATCAGCACATCATGGGAGACGATAGTCCTGGGCGCAGGCCAGACCCAGGCCCACCAGCTGGCAATTATGGCAATCCAAAAGTCACGGCACGTCCCTCGGCAGGCAGCTGCTTTCCCCCAAACTGATTTCATAAGAGTCGCTTCCCGCTTCCTGCGGATAAGGAAATTTTCTTTTTGTATTATTCTTTAAAGCCTCACTTAACCACTTGTTGGGTATTTCTTTACATTTGAAAGTCTAGTCTTTGGCAATGGCATATCCGATAAATTAAGTATACGCAGCGTGTTGGATTTTGCTCTGCTGTGGCTATTAATCAATTGCCGCCAGCAGAGTCTGGGTATCGTTAGATATCCAAGTCCAATAACAGCCTAAAATGAGCCTAAATGGTTGTCTATAGGGGGTGGTTCTACAAGTGGTGTCCAGGCAGGTAAATGGGCTTCGGATAGAACTACAATGGACGGCTTCTTATCGCAAACGATGGCAGGGAACGGACTAGGAGGGGTACATCGTTGTGTGGTCCCTTGGTACTGGGCGTCTTCATGGTCACAGAGTTATTTTCCTCTGCTTCCCTTTTTATTCATAGGCCTCCTTGCTTTCTCCTCCTTTATTGTCGTAGGCCTCCCTGCTTCCATTGCTTCCTTCTAATCGTACACCTCCTTGTTTCCGTTTCTACCTGAACCTGTTTCCCCTGCCTTTCTCACAGTAGGCCTCTCCTTCCCTTCCTGATGCTATGCCAATACCAATAAATAAAATGTTGTGGGCGCCTGTTAAAGAAGTCCTGGTTGTAGGTTTACTCGTACTCCATACTTACACAATGTTTTAAATCAATTTATCAGCATGAAGCCCATAAGGAGAGAGGAAATTGTCCTTGCAATGCAATTGTCATAATACAAAAAGTGTTTTTGGGGGGCAACGATGAGCGAACGACTGAAAATGAATGCGGAATAAAGCGACGCCATCTCCATTCCCATCAGTAGTACGGTGTAGAGCGTCATTTGGGTTTATTGATACGACTTTGAAAAGCCAAATGCGCGGCAGAAACACACAGCTTTACAGTTATTACTGAACACCCGATTAAATTCTAATATGAATTTTATCGCCTTGTGCTGTGTAGGTGCCATCGCCAGGCATCGCTCCGAATACTGGCAGACAGTTGGTGGAGCTGTCATTAAAAGCGTTTATTCTGATTATAAGGCGAGAGTGCCAAAATGAGTAATGATTCGTGGGGGAAAGAGAGCAGGATTCACTGGGGTTTTTATTAACGCCTGGCAAGTGGAAAATTTCGTCGAGTTGATAAAGATTGATTGATGGGTTGGTCGGGTTCTTCTTTCACTGTTTTCTCTGCTCTCGTTTCGCAGCAGTTTCTTCCGTGCTTGTTTGTCGGGACAAATTGAGTTGTCATAATTTGAATATCTTCGTCTGGCAGAGAGATTTAAGAAGCTTTAATCAAGCTCCAGCCATGATGCACTCCCCGAATCCGCATCCGTCTGCTGCTTTGTTCTATGTGATATTTTATGGTAGTACTCTCAAAGCTGGGGCATAATAAATTTACATCAAGTAATTACAACGCATGTGGCGGCTGTGGCTGCAGTTAAGCTTTTATTTACTTCCACTCTGCACCACTCTACTACAGCATTTTGGCCGTATCCTGCCTTGTGCAACACCCTGTGCGCGCACACACACAAGCGCATTTAGCGTGTAAACAGTTCACGAGCTAAATTAAATATACTGCAACACAAATACACAAAGCAATGAAATGTAATTTAACACACAAGAAAAAGCCACCTTAACTAGAGATGAGAGCGTGTTTGGGTGGCGAGAACACGCACGAGTCATCCTTCGTCCTGTACAACAAGCCTAGAGAAGACATTTCACGGATAATTTTTTAAATAGGCTTCCACGCTCAGACATGCAACGCTCACGCCCATCTCGACTCCCCCCGAAACCAGATATACGATGTCGCCACCTGTCAACAGAATTTCATAGCTAAGTAACTCCCACCCCACCTCCACAGAGCCCGGGCGCCCATCATAAACAATGAGCAATCAGAGTTATGGTCATGCCTTGCATAACGGATCACATACTCTCTTTGGCCGACGACTCTCCTCTCTCTTCATAATTAGTGCCGCTGTACTGAAGCTATACTTCTCTCTCTTCATGCTGAGTGCCGCTACTAGCACTCCTCCTCTCTCTTCATGCTGATGGGTGCTAAAGGGAGAATACTCCTCTCACGCATAGCACTACCCATTAGACTGAATGAGGCCACTGATTGTGTTGAGTGCTGGTTGATTAACGCAACTATGTTTATGACTACTGAACCCCGCAACCCACCATCACTGCCGTCCGTCGTAGTGCATGTGTGGTCATGCAAATCCATTAAGAGGAGTCTGTCGTCGTACTCCGCCCAACTTCTCGGAATATGCGAATCAAAGGAATATAGCGCTTTCTCACAAAAACAAAACAATGTCAGACATTTGCAATTGTTGCCAACTGTCAGGCCACTTGTCGCTTTCGTTGTCGCTGTCGCTGTCGCTTCTGCTGCTGCTCCTGCTCCTGCTCTTGTAGTTGTAGTTGTACTGCAGCTTTTCTTGCTTTACGGTTTTTTGAGGGGAAATAAAGCAAGCAACTGCAGCCGAAATGGTTTATAGTTGTCTCCTCCCGCTCACACTTGTGCTCTCTGCCCTACTCGCACTTATTCTGCAGCTCCTGAAGTTGCTGCCGACAAGGTAAATTTATACAAGGTTAGCATTGCCCAAAGATCGTTAGAACGATAGTTCCTAGTTTCGATTGAGGTGCATTTCTGCAAGAAAGTTCTGCAAAGTTTCAATGAGAGAGAGGCTTCAGTAGAGGGGGTATTTATGCCACCTTACCTAAATATACCTTGACTGTTAGCTTTCCTTCGGCTTGCTTTATAGCCCGCTCTTTACCGCTATCTCCATAGTCGCTTGTGTTGCCTGGCTTGCTTGTCGCATGCCTTTTTGTCTCAGCTGTTAGCTGCTCTGCCGCCACAAAGAAAAGAGAGTGGGAGTGGGAGTAGAAGAGAGACTCAGTGGGAATGGTTGTTGGTGCAAATGGGAGTGAGCTAGTGGAAGTAATGGTAAATGCTTACAGCTTAAAGCACTCTCTCTGTCTCTCCGAAACACACTGATATTCTAACGTATTCACGTTTGATTCTGAAACTCCTAAGCCCTTTGTCTGTCTCAGGCACAAGTCCATCAACTTTTAAATACTTTCCGCAAATGCATTGAACACTTTCATTGGATTTGAAATACCCTCTAGAATGTGTGAAGGCATATCAGTATCAAGCAAGCGCAGAAATACATAAGGATTCATTGGAATGAAATCGGTAGAACGCGTTGATCCTGTTAATTAAATTCATACATAACATCTGATTAGTTATTTCCGCTCTTCTACTGAAATACCTTCTAATTAATCCTTTCAACTGTTTAAGGGGTACCATGTAGTCTTTTATTGTATATCTTTCCTGTGCGGTGGGTTGACCAAATCCGCTTTCCTCACCAACACACACCAACGCACTTTACTGCTATTAACGGCTACGGAGCATGGGCCATGGAATGCAGATGGAAATGGACTTAAGCCCTAGCAGTTGTCTTAAAGTTGACCCTAGCCTCACGTACTGGTACACACACACACAGTGGTAGGATACATTTCTCTGCTGTGTTATAAATAAATTTATTTCAAATAACTTTTCCTTGTGCTGTGAAGTGCATTTAAGCTTTTGACTCCAGCCTCTCGGACCCACTCTCCACCTCGCTACCAAGTTTCCAGCAAATGCAAAAGTTAGTAAACCACAAGCACACACATTCACCCGAGCCTCCTCTTCCTACCATAGACAGAGAGAGAGGGAAAGGATTCTGACAAAACTTGCACCTGTTTGCATCAAATTACAAGTTGAGTCCGGCACCAGAGCTCCAGGTCAATCTACAGTTGCAGCACCTTTGCTGCAGAAGCAAGCCCAACTTGCCTCCTTGCCTCCACTGACCTCATCTGGCATTTTGTACGGGTAGCATTCGCATATCCCCTGCCTAGAGCCCCTACCTAGAAAACACACACGCACTTTGTTTCTCATTTTCAGTACCAGTACCAGTACCAGTACCAGTGACCGGACAGATCTCTGTGTATATATTAAGTTACACTCAGTGCAAATATAAATATTTAACATTTTCGTACAAATTGTTGAAATTCGGTTTTAAGCTAGAGAGGTCCAGAAATGGCCAGGAAACACGTTTTATGGACAAGTTTGTTGCAAAATATTGTTTTGCATAGGACCCCATGTCAAATAAACGTTTGTCTATCACACAAAGAGAAAGAGAACTATGGGGAAAGAGAAATATAAAGAGAGAGAGAGAGGTGGAATAGAGCAAACAGATAATCAAACAAAGCAAATATACACCAAAAGTTACACAAAACCAAACTTTGGCATCTTATACTTCCATTTCAGTTGGTGTTCTATGCTGTTTTCTTGCCAAGTTAGAGCTTCAAGGATGTGCCAAAGAATATACCAGAAACAAAGGATGAATGTCGACGGAAAACATAGTACCTCTTACATCTACGAGTATTTCAATTTATGGTATTTATTTGAGTAGAAAAGGCATCTTTTTACCCAAAATATTAAGATTTGTTGTCTGTTATAGTAAAAACTACGCTTTTAATTCTTTTCCTAATGCGGAATTCTATTGGCACTTTATTTATAAATTTAGAAAACGATGTGGCCTATATTTTATCGTACAATTAATCCTGTTATCTTTAAATTATGACAGCACTCTTTCAACTACGCCTAAGAGTGTTTACAGAACAAACGACAAACCCATCTAGATCACCATTAAGCCCACATATTTGAGGTCTCTGCGGTAAAAAGGAACACCCTCTCGGCGCTGGAAACCCGAACACCCCCCCACTGTATTTAAAGAGGCTGCATGAAAATACTAAAAACAAAAAAGGAAAACAACGCAAATAACTTTGGCCGCACTCCAAGGTTCTGAGAGTCAAGTGGTGGTAAGCAGAGGCAGAAAGCTTTTGTCGGTCAGCCGCAGGTGATAAAAAGTTGAGAGTGGAGGGCAAC